AACCCAACGCACCGGCGCAGTAACTCAGTTTCGATGCTGGAAAAATGTTGATGACTTTTTTACTTGGTTTTAGATTTATTTTAAGAGCCATTTATCAATAGTATTTTTAACATTTCTTAAAAAGCAATTAGCAAAATTACTCCTTTCACTTCAAAATACTGACAATCTTAAGGTATTTTTTGCGAAAAATTATGAAATAAATTTTATTAGAACAGTTGCCTCCTTCGTCGTTGTGTACAAAGTTTTGAAATCCCTTTCCAGCTTCGAATTGGGGACAAAAATCAGATAATTTTCCATTAAAAAACGAACTCAATAAGCGAAAGTTTATAATAAATTATTTGGAAAACTTTTCACTTCCGTCTGACGACTGTAGAGTTTGTTGAAAAAATGTGGTTTTTTAGTTTGGGTTAGTTTTTTTGCTTTATTTTCCACTCAATTTCGTAGTTTTACTTAAAAATACAGACGATACAGTAAAATACCTCCATCTTTTACTCGAAAAACTACAAGATAAATCTATAGCTTTGTAGTGATTTTACAAAAACTTTTTTCAGCGTCGAATTCGGGACAAAAACGAAAATAATTTTCCCCAGTGTTTTCCCGAAAATCATTAAGATTTTCTGAAAAACCGATTACGAAACTAAAACTTTTTAATCAAAATCCCAAGAAAAACATGATTTTCTGATGATTTTTTTTTGTGCCAATAATGGGTCAAAAATTACAAAATTAATTTTGCTAGAAAATTCGCCTCATTCATCGGTTTGCAGGGAACTTTAGAAAACCCTTTTCAGCTTCGAATTTGGCACAAAAACCAAATAATTTTATTCAGTTTTTTACCGAAAGCAATTAAGTTTATCTTGAAAAAACGGGTTAATGTTCAATCACTCTGTATATACAAGTGATAAACAGTAACGCTAAAGACGAGTTTTACTCGAAACTGTACAGTTAGCGAATTAATTTGCAATCGTGTGTTTAAATTAAAAACTGCATATTGGACAGAATTTTCGAAAATTTTTCAAAAATGAACATCTTTTATACAGGAAAAACTGCTTCATTTGCAGGATTTAGCATTGTCAATTAGCATGACGCATGCTTAAATATTTAGGCTTATTAAAATGCAGGAATCGTTAAATCGAAATTAATGTTGCGTGTGTCATACACGCACGAATTATGAAAAGGTAATTTTGACCTAAAATCATTTGTTCGGAACTTTTCCGAAAAACCAAATAATTTTATTCAGTTTTTCTACCGCAAGTAATTAAGAATATCTTGAAAAAAACGGCCAGGGAGCAAAAGTTTCCAAAAAATTATTTGGAAAATTCGCCACCCTCGTGGCTCTGAAAATTTTTCAACTTTCTTTAAAATTTCAGGTCATTCCAGTTTTCGCAAAGTTTCTATTGAACAATTTTTGCTACGCAAAACAAGTATTATTTTTAGTTTTACTTAAAATACTGACAATCTTCAGGTATTTTCTGTGAAAATTATGAAATAAATTCTATTGGACCAGTCGGCTCCTGAACAGCTTTGTAAATTTTTGCTGGAACCTTTCGCAGCTTCGAGTTTTGGACGAAACCCTAATAAATTTTTCCAAATTTTTTCGCAAAAATAAATTTCCGAACAGAACAAGTAAATGTTTATAATCAATTATTGTGAATAATTTGGTTGATTTAAATTCCGGTTTCTTCACTTTCAGGTCAATATTTGTAAACAAAATTTTCTCTAAACAGAACAACGCATTTTTTTGAACGTTTTACTGTAAA